CTACACGTAAAAACTGATGATGGTGGAAAAATACACCGAAACGTATTTTAATTGATAAATAAAGACAATAAATGACTGAAACCCAGGAATTAATTGGAAGTGGATTAAAGCTTTTCGAAGTCTGAAATTCTTTAACTCATGATTTCAATAACTTTTTCCCAGCGCCGGTGTGTTGAGTTGACGCACCAAGTCAATTGCGCAGCTCTGCGCCAGCTCCAAAAAATTAACTGAGTTACCCAGACCTAATCACTACTCCACCTTTCTTGATAGTGTGCGGCTGAATTGGCACCAGAAAACGCGAAAATCTTCGAAGCTTTCAACTCATTTCCTGAATAGCGTCGATGAAATGTGCAGGTATTGAGTGCGCTCTATCGTGGAGGAAGGAGATTTTCGCTCTTTTCCTTGATGGCGCTTTGAAAATGCGACGTGACCAAACAAAGGCAGTCTAACCGCCACAACATAAAGCCAGTCGTCATTCCGCCCCTTGTAAATTGCCGCCCCCACAACGGAAAAGCCGCTTTCCAAGTGTTAACAACATGGTTGCCGAGTTTTCCATAATGGATGTCTTCTGAAGAAATTTGGTAGTTTCAGAGCAAAAAAAATCATTAAGTTAAGTGAGTGGACTTTGAAAAAGCTTCTGGTAAAATTATTTCTAACTCTTGGCGTTTTTTTTTCATCTCCTTTGTTAAGAGCCATTTATGCAAAATAGTAGCAATTACTAAGCCGCTTAAAACTAAGGCTATAATTATCCACGCTAGGTGGCATTAACTTACTACTTTCTGATGTGTATAATGGGACTGTTTTATTGTTCTTTGAAGAACGGCTTTATGAGCCCCATAAGTAAAAGTAAGAAGAGAATGCTCGCTTAATTATAATCATCGGGTTTAAAAGAAGACTTTATATCTGCTTATCTCGCAATGCTTCGCCATGTTATTAATCACTTCTTCTCGGAACGATATGCACATTATTCACTAGGGTGTTTATGTAGTTCCTTTGTAACAGTCACACAGAAAAAGAAGACACAGGGGTTTTAATGAAAATTTGGTTGTTTTCATTAGAAAATAAAATCAGTTCGCTTGCGTAATTCCCTGGTGGAACCATGTAGAATGATACACCGCCCACATTAGCAGAATCTGGGTCGGATATAACATTGCCTAATGGCATTTTTGCGAAACATAATTACGAACGAATTTATCGGATCAGTAGCGAGATTAGATTCGGAATCGGAAAACAATCAACGATGAAAGTGAGTGACTAATAATAGCAATTGGAATTAAATGCATTAGACACACCCTTTGTACTAAATAATGTTGTTTCTATAGCGAATATTTTGGATATTCAGGACTCAACTGGAAGGGTCTGAGAATATATCGTCTGTCAACAGAATGATAAGTTCTTTCATTGCATTATTCTATTCTATTCCATTATTGCAAAGGCGAATATCGCGGGTTTCGGGCGATTTCAATGAAATTTCCAGGACAGAAAGATTCAAATCTCGTCTATCCAGAGTGGAAATTTCACGTTTCTACTTGATCTCAATTGAAAGTTATAATTTTTGAAAGGTAAGCGTGTAAGTGTGAGAAATTGGTGATTTTAAGCCGTAATTAATTTTGCATTCAACAAGCCGATTTTTTGCGATTTAAGTATATTTTCCAGGCTTAAAGATTCAAATCTATTCTATGGACTGTGAGAATTTCAAGTTTCTACTTGATCTCAGTTGAAAGTTATAGTTTTTTCAAGGTAAGCGTCTACGTTTGTGAGGTCGGTCCTTTTAAGCGAAAATTGACTTAGTTAGCAAACCTCCGGTTTTGGTGTGATTTTAATGGAATTTCCGGCACTAAAACATTCCAATATGTTCTATGGATGCGGGGAATTTCAAGTGTCTACTTGACCCCTATTGAAAGTTATAATTTTTTAAAGAAAAGTGTGAAATTGGTCCTTTTAAGTCATAATTAACTTGTTTAGCAAACATCTCAATTTTGAGCAATTTCCATAAAATTTTCAGAGTTTAAAAACTCAAATGTCTGGTGCGGATGGTGAAAATTTCAAGTTTCTACTCGATCTCAGTTGAAAGTTATAATTTTTTAAAGGTAAGCGTCT